ACACACACACACACCACACACCATTCCAAGCTTTGCTCTCCTCCTGTCCTCTTGAGCTCCCTGCAGAGCTGGAGGACAGATGTGGGGGGCACAGGCCTTTGCAGAATCCCCTCTTTCCACTTTGCACCAATTTAAGACATTGTTTTCTGCAGTTTGTTTCCAAGATCCATATGAATTTGTTTGTCTTCCAGATACCCTATGTTCCACAGGTATTTTGTAATGCTTTTTTGAGGAAAAAGAAAATGAAGCCACAATTACTAATCGAAGTCTTCATCAAGACAGGAAAAATAAACGAGTCATACTTCTGTGCCAGGGATGATTTCTGCCAGACTTGGAGAAGTAGTAGCTCCTGACTTGTGGCTGTAAGCATGAGCACATATGAATTTGTCTGTTAGAAGAGAAATGTATAAACTGTAGTTTGCCTTTCAATATTATTTCTATCGAGCATAGCAGTAAACAAGTCACATCCAACAAAGGTAAAGCTCTCTGGTAACACACATGGGGCCAAAACAACCTAGATCTCTGGTTTTGGCATGTAGCTAAGTGAAACCAGAACTGTGGTAATTTTTTTGGCTATAGAATGAAATGCTGGGATCCCTGTTGAGGACACCCAGTTGTTACAGAACACTTCTTAGTTGAAGTTCTGCTGAGTTAAATGTCTTGAAACTCACAGATGCACGGGATTTATCTCTTCTCAGATAGATTTATTGCATAAAGATCTGGCACTAGAGCATGAGGAAAAAATGGAAAATGGGGCCAACTGTTGGGAGGGAATTTTAAGACACAAAGGACCTGATTCTTACAGCCCTACATTCCATCTGAAGCAAGTAATTCAAATGGTTTTCTACCTTCTAAAGTTCTTCATTTAAATCAAGAAATGGGACACAATCAAAGTACCTGAGGATAGTTCCCAAATTAGTGTAAGGCAAGCTGTCCAAAGGATGTAGAATCAAGCTGATATGGGAGCTCTTGCAGGCAAGAGAATGAGTGCAAGAGAGAAGTCCCTGAGTGAGCAAGAAGGGACAGGATTGGGGCCTTAGTGGCTGACCAGATTTGAGTAGCAGCAAGACAGGTCCTCCTTATAAAAGAAGGGGACTAGAGTACGTGGGCAAAGATGGAATATGGGTTGGTGAGATGATTAACATGTTCTTCTGATGGATTTCGTTGTTGCTGTGCAACCAGAAGCAGGCTTATCAACTAGGACTGCGGAGGGTAAAAAAATGATAAAGTTTGAGAAAATGTGGAACCACAAACAGAGTGAATTGTTAAGATCAGCAGTGATTTATCTAATGAATTTTCTAGAACAGCACTATCCCACAGAAATATAATGCAAGCCACCCGATTCCTAAAAGATCTAAAAATTGACCTTTCACATAACGCCGCAATTCCCCTACTGGGAATATACCCAGAGGAACTCAAATCACTCTATGAAAAAGAGACCTGCACATGTATGTTTATCGCAGGCTTGTTCACAATAGCAAGAACATGGAACCAACCATGCTGCCCATCAAAAGAGGACTGGATTTTTAAAATGTGGTACATATACACAATGGAATATTACGCAGCCATAAAGTAGGACAAAATTATGAACTTTGCAGCAACTTGGATGGACTTAGAGGCTATAGTACTGAGTGATCTATCACAGAAACAAAGATCTGAGTATCACATGTCCTCACTCATAAGCGGACCTTGAACAACTATCGTAATACTACAAGAAAGGGATTGGCAGTAGAGGGAAGTTGCCACAGAAGGGTGGGGGGTGGGAGGGGCAGTAGTGGGAAACTGCCAGGGAATGGGGGCACATCTCATCAACAAGAGCACCTGCATAATGAAGATTTGGATACCTAACCCTAAATTGTACCCACATAGTTAAAATTTTTTAAAATTTTTAAAAAAGAAATATAATGCAAGCCACCTATGGATTTTTTAATCTTCTAGTAGCCACACTGAAAAAGGTAAAAAGAGGCCGGGCTCGGTGGCTCAGCCTGTAATCCTGCGCTTTGGGAGGCCGAGGTGAAAGGATTGCCTGAACCCGCGGGTTCGAGACCCACGTGGGCAACTTGGCGAGCCCTCGTCTCTACAATAAATCAAAAAATTAGTCGGGTGTGATAGTTCCAGCTACTTGGAAGACTGAGGCGGAAGGATCGCCGGAGCCCAGCAGGTCGAGGCTGTGGTGGCCAGGAGCAGCCACTTCACTCCAGTCTGGGTGACAGTGTGAGACTCCAATTCAAAAAAAAAGAAAAGGTAAAAAGAAACAGGTAAAATTAATTTCTAATAACATATTTCATTTAACCCAACATATTCAAAATATTATCATTTCAACATGTAATAAGCATTAAAAATTATTGAAATATTTTAGATTCTTTTAGTGCTATGTTTTCTAAGGCCAGTGTGCATGCTCTACTTCAGCACATCCCAGTTCAGATAAGTTACATTTCAAATGCTCAGTAGTAGCCACATGTGGCCAGTGGCTACCACATTGGACATCACAAGTCTAGAAAATGAGGAACACTAAGGGTCCGTGGAGATCGGGAGCCATGAACTGACGTTTCTTTTTCTTTCTCAGCCACATTCAGAGCTCATGGGCAGATGTGGAGTAGGCAGAGGGTTGAACTTGATCAGGAATAGAGTTTTGCAAGCAGCTATTCAACCAGAGGGAAAAAAGAAAAGGAAATTCACAGCACGTACAACCAAGTGATTATACAAACTGGCCATACAACGTAAACCACAGAAGTTAGAATGGGGTATAAGAGGGATGTGAAGAGGTGGTAGGGGCAGTGGATGTTCTAGCGGGGTCCAAGAAGTTTAAGAAGTGCAGATGCTATGCAATATACAAAAATGTCTAGATAATCCCTGCCCTCAATAAGCTGATCCTGAGGGCAGATTTACCAATAACCATGCTATTAAGACAGCATGTGATAAATGCCAGAGAAGTAGCATGAAATGTGTTCTATGTGAGTTACAAAGAAGAAGAGTTCACCTCTAATTAAGATGACCTATGAAGGTTCACAGAGAAGGTGGCAGGTAAATCAGGCCTTGAAGGATAAGCAGGATTTTAATCAATCTGTGGGAAACATGGTACAAAGTGAGGAAGAAGCACAAGCACAGACAGAAAAGCAAAAATGTTCAATATTGTGGGGGACGAAAGTAAAAAAAAAAAAACAAACCTTAATATTCATTGAGAGAGCCATTAATTACAACAGAGTAGACAGCCTATAAATAATGATGGGTCTTTAAAGAAAAGTACCGGGATAATTTCCCTGGAAGAAGAAAGATCGCATTATAAAATAAAGTCATCTTCCCTCCCAGAATACAATGATTCCCAGCAGTGGGAGAAATAAGTGCCAAAGATTATTCCCATGAAATAAATTCCCTTTCTTTCTGGCCCACCTCCTCACCCCTACACACACACACACACACACACACACACACACACACACACACACACACGTGTGCACACATGCACGTACACAGTCACACAGAGCATTCATCCTTCCTTTAGAATTCAGTCTCACATACGTCATTCTCTTCTGTGGAAATGGTCCGTCACATCCAAAGAGAAGCAGCACATTTACCTTTCATTCTTAGATTCCAGAAGAAAACATTTGGAAAGGACTAGGATCAGAGTAGGTGAGATTAAAGGGCTTTGATTGCTATTAACGTTTTTTTAAAAGTAGGATACGCCCACCACACAGACCCAGTTTATAAATCTTTTCTAAAACAAGTTGCATATATACACTGTAATCTTTCTTTCTAAACCTGATGCTGTTTCCATTAAAATGTAAAGAGAAAAACAGCATTTCACATTAGTTTGGTTCTCAACAGTCATCATTGAACAACAAGAAATTTAGTGTTTTCCTAAGTATGTGCAGACTGTTGTTGAAAAAAAATTACCTTATTTTGTTCCAGCTCTAAATGGTGAGGGAAATTTGCCAGGAGGTCCACATCCTTTTTTCACAAGAACTTCCTCCTTCAATTGGAATATTCAGAAACAGGGAGAGCTATATTTTTCCATGAGACTTTAATAATACTGTATTTTGCATTTACATATCATAGATCCTTGGTACTTCATAGCTCATAGCTAATTATCACTTTAAATTTACAAATGAGTATATGATAGCACAATATTTAGAAGTGATTCTTCTCTCACCCAACAGTAAGTAATTAATGCCAGGATTAGAATTCCTAATGACTGATATATGTGGTCCTACAACTGAAGATCGTTCTCACAACATAAAATGAAGTATCCAGTAAACAGAATGTAGCAATTATCAAATATCCCGTTTATTCAAGATAATTTTAAGAACTGTGGAGTTTTATCATATAAATAACCATATTAAACCTTACAAACCTACATCAATATGAATATAGATTAGTTTGATCATCCAATCAAAACTAATACTTAATATAAATTAATAAGTGTATATACATATCATCAAATCAGTTCCATAAAGTAAAATACCTTTCAATCAAAAAGTCAGCAAACAGGTCAACATATTTTAAAATGTGAACTATTGCTTTAAAAGTCTTTCACTAATGTGCTATAATTTTGAAGATTACAGATGCCACTGGTCAGACTACTCCATGTACCATCAAGTTTCTCCTTTTTGGAAATAAAACCATCAGTTGTCTGCTGATTCAATTAGGAAGGGAAGATATCCAGTTCTCTTAACAGCCTATCTATGGTTTTGATCCCGATGTCTTTAACACTCATATGTCCGGGAGATTCTGTAAGATCTGTCTCAAAGAAGCACAGGCTACCACATGGGCATCTGAAGGCAGATTGGCAAGTGACTGAATCAGCTTCTTGACTATTGTCTTCAAACACTGGTGGGCAGCATTCAAGTCTCTGTCAAACTGCTGTCCTTCCATCTGTAGAGCCAAGTGACTGCAGATGTTTCTGAACTCAACACTATCCTGAAATGAACAGCAAACACAAACATTAGATGGATTACGGGGGACATTAGTTGTGCTCTGCTTATCCAGCTTCCACCCCCTTCTCTTCTGGTGACAACTCAATTTTTATCCAGAAGAAGTACTCTCCTCTATTTCCAGCCTGTGCAATTTGGCCAAAGCTGATCACATCTCCAGGGACCAGGCCAATCAGAGCCTATCACCCCATGCCACATGGACTAGTCGTGGATGGACAGGCGATCTAAGCAAAGGTCAATCAGCTACAGTCCAAGATGTCTGCTAGACAAGCTCTAAAGAGGATCTGCTATCCTCTGTAACTGAGAAACTGTTGGAAAACATCTTGCCATCCTAAGGACAGAGGCCAAAGGAGAATGAAGCCAACACAGAAGAAAGTAGAACCAGGAGATTTAAAAAGACAGTCTAATTACACTTTCTGAGCATAGGAATCTTACTGTACTCGAACCCTAGGATTTTTTGACTGAGTCAGTAAATATCCCCTTTTTACTTCCAGTTGGAGTTGAGTTGCTGTTACTTGTTTCTAAAAAAATCTATGACAAATACTCAAACAGTCTGTTTCTATTATTCCATAACCACTGTGTTCAGTATTCTAATACAGAATTTGTTATTTATTGGACATAGTCTCAAGAAATTCCCAGTTCAAATTTAGAAAGAATAGTTCCCAAATAGTTTAAAAGAATGAAACAATTCAACAGCTTTTTAATCCCCAAATGTCTCACATTCTAAAATTCATTGTAAATAAAAGGCATATTGGAACTATTCTGCATGAGAGATAATGTTGAATATATGATCTCTTTTTTAATACAGGGAAATGACTTCCCCGGACTTCCAGTTCTGGCAACTCAGCACATTTACAATTTCTCCCAAATCTTTGCTACCGAATTGCTAGAATTCTAAATAAAATAGAGCAAACATTCTCTCTTAGCTTGCAAGAAAGTAAGGGAAATCCCTAAAAGGCCAAAAATATAGAAAAACGGATCGTTTTAGCTGCCTACCAGTACCATCAAGAAAATTAGTCTCTCTTGAGCTGGATTTGAGGCAGAGGGTAAAGTTGCCCCTGAGACTGTGTAACTGTGGACCTGTATTACATAGTTGTTGAGTTTGTGTGTATACCATATACACATTTTTGAAACACCCATGTTAAAAAATTAACTTAAAAATCAGAACTGTGCTGAAGTAGCCATGAGCACATGGTGAAAGCAAACAAAAACCTATTCTAGGGAAGAATGTCTACAACCCATGTCCCACAAGGATATTCCCATAAAACCTATGTTGAAGACAAACTCAAAATATGAAATTTTAAATACCATGATATAGCAGATGCAATGTGGAACAGGTTTAAACTATAAGAATTTCAAATAGAGACTATAAAATACATTTAAAATACTTAAAGTTATAAAATAATAAATTTTTAAAAAGTGTTTTAAGGAAAAACAGGCTTGAAAAAGGACCAAATCCATTTCTAGAAATGACAATTATAGTAAAAATTTAAAACTCAATGGACAGCTTAAACACTTGATTAAATATATCTAACGTGAGGATTAGTGCTATAAACTGGATGATAAATGTGAGAAAACGACCCCGGAATGCAATATTGAAAGCTGAATACATGGGAAATATGAATGAGAGGTTAAGTAACATGGACGACAGAATGAGAAAGTTCAACAAATACATTTATTTTCAGAAGAGATGAGAGAGAATGAGAGTGAGGCAATATTCAAACAGAGAATGAGAATTATCCAGAGTTGATCCAAAACATTAATATTTAGATTAAGAAAGTAAAATGGAGGAACTCATATTATTCTACAAAAAAGATACCTGCACGCGTATGTTTGTTGCAGCTCTATTCACAATAGCAAAAACATGGAACCAACCGTGTTGCCCATCAAAGCAGGACTGGATAAAAAAAAATGTGGTACATATACACAATGGGGTATTATGCAGCCACAAAGAAGGACAAATATATAGACTTTACAGCAACTTGGATGGATTTAGAGCCAATCATACTCAGTGATCTAGCACAGAAACAAAGAACAGAGTCCCATATGTTCTCACTCATAAGTGGACTTTGAACAATTATAATATTATAAGAAAGGAATTGGCAGTAATGGGAAACTATCGGGGGGGGTGGGATTGGCAGTTGAGAGAAACTGCTAGAGGAAGGAGGGGCATACCTCATCAACAAGGGTACCTGCATAATCAATGTTTATATACCTAACCCTGAATTGTACCCCACATCTTTATAATAAAAATTTTAAAAAAGAAAGTAAAATGAACCTTAAGAAGAAAAAGTTACATTAGATTCAAATCAAAACGCATTGAGACAAAACTACTCTTAAAAGCAACCAGAAAGAAGAAGTTCTCAAGGAATGACAAGACATATAGCTGACTTCTCACCACCACAACTGAAGTGAGAAGAGAATGGAATAATAACTTCAAATAACTATTGATCTAAATTTTTTTATTCCAACCAAATTATTATGTAAAACTCAGGGTAAAATAAATATACTCTCTTTGAAAAGGACAGAATTATCGCAAACAGATCTTTACAGTTAGATCTTTCTAAAGACATAATTTCGAAACAGGAAATTTAATTCAGAAGGAATGAGATGCAGGGTGCAACAGTGAAAAAAGAAACTCAAAAAAATGATGTAAATCTAAAAAATGTATTGTTTAAAAAATATATAACAACTACCATCAACACAGCAGGGACACAACCCACAGAATGGGGAAAAATATTTGCTAATTGTATGTCTGACAAATGCCTTACATCCAGAATCTATAAGGAACTCAAACATGCCAAACAGAAGAGAAAAAAAAAAGCCCTATTAAAAAATGGGCAGAAGACCCGAATAGACACTTCTCAAAAGAAGACACATGAGCAGCCAAAAGACACTTAAAAAAAATACTCAGCCTCACTAATCATCAGAGAAATGCAAATCAAAACTACACTGAAATACTACCTTGCCCCAGTAAGGATGGCCATCATTAATGAATCAAAAAACAACAGATGCTGGTGTGGGTGAGGAGAAAAGGGGACACTTCTATACTGTAGGTGAGTGCAAACTAGTGCAACCTCTATGGAAAATAGTATGGCAATATCTAAAGAAACTAGAAATTGACCTTCCATATGACCTAGCAATCCCCCTCCTGGGAATATATCCAGAGGAACACAAATCATTCTACAAAAAAGACTGTATGTATGTTTATTGCCACGATATTCATGATGGCAAAAACATGGAACCAGCCTTACTGGCCATTGAAAGCAGACTAGATAAAGAAAATGTAGTACACATATATGATGGAATATTACACAGTCATAAAGAAGGACAAAATCATGGCCTTCTCAACAAATTAGATGGAATTGGAGAGAATCTTTCTTAGCAATCTATCACAGAAGCAAAGGACCGAATACCACTTGTTCTCACTCCTAAGTGGGACTTGAACATTAAGAACAAAAGCTTGAGGGAGGGATCATCAGTCACAGCACACTGCCAAGGGGGTGGGAGGGGTGGGTGCCTACAACAACACAAAGGCTACCTGATTCTAAGCCAGGTGAAGTGAGAGCCAGTTGGAGGTCCAAATTTCACCTGCACATATATTGCTTATGTACCTAACCTTGACTTGTTCTTCACATCTTTATAATAAAATTAAATTTAAAAAATTATAACAACTAATGTGGGTTTTACAAAAGCAAGACGGTTCGAAAATTCTGAAGAACAGTAATGCAGGGTGAAGTGGAATTCTAAGCACTGTGTTCCTTAAGAGAAAGGCAAATTGATACATTTCAGACTTGTTAAGTATGTGTGTGAAAGTGCAAGGGTTATCATTAAAAGGAGATAAAAAATATATAAAACTTCAAAACCAGCCAAGGGGAAAAGTGTATGAAAATTTTATAGATCCTAACTATATAGAAGATAAAAATGAAGAAATAAAGACACAACATAAGGCAAAGGAAACAGAAAGTGCCAAATAAGATGTAGAAGTAAACCTATACATATCAGAAAGCATAATAAATGCAAACGGACAAACTTTTGAAAGACAGTGATTACCAGATTGGTTCTATATGCTTTTTACATGCAATACATTTATAACGTAAACCACATAAAAATGGAAAGTAAATGGATACTTAAATATATTCCAAGCAAATGAAGTCAAAATAAAACTATGAAAATCATTATTGGGGGTAAAATAAACTGTAATTAATAAAAGAAATAATTCCTCAAGAAGTATCACAGTTTTGTACTTGTATGTGCCTACTATGATAACTTTTTTTTTTGAGTTGGAGTCTCACTCTGTTACCCAGACTGGAGTGCAGTGGCCGCTCCCGGCCATGACTGTCTCTGAGATTATAAGCACAGGCAAAGATACTATTTAAACATTCAGAGTATATTGCTAATGTGTTTCTTTTTTTGCTTTCATTTCAAGAATTGCACCACCAATGGAAAGCAAGATATAATTAGATTAGAAAGATTTATTCCATCAATCTGAAATTTTTCCAAGTACTGTTATAAAA